CGGAGGGAGAGACACATGTCTTAAGGCCACCAACGCATACTCTTGTGAAGAAAAATGAAATAATTGAATGATAATCATCTTATTTGTTACTAAAAGTTTACTTTTTGTAAGTTGTTACCATCCCATTTGACTTTTAATTACACAAACAAATAAGAATTTTTTTATTAATTAAAGGTGATCCACTATAAATGGTGGAAGTTTCCTATTCGGGCAACTAAACCAATTCTTGTTGATTCTTATGTCTTCTTCACTAACACTAAACGGTGGGATTTTCCTATTTAGACGACTGAGTGATTATTAGACCATCTTTAACCATGACACTTTAAGAGTATCATTAAATAAATAAATATTAAAACACACACTTTCTCTTCATTTTACTCAACTTTATACCTTCTCTTTCATCCTTTTACTCAACTTTTATTAATTTTATATTTAAACACACCCCAACTAAAAGAAACTTTCTCCCCAAAAGTGTCAACCTATAGAACTAAAGACACACTCTCTCTCCAAAAATATCCACTATCTCCTCTCTTTACTCAAATTTTATTAATTTTATATTTCAATACACCCCGTTATTTCAACCAAAAACACTCTCTTTCTTCNTTTTACTCAAATTTTAATAATTTTATATCAAATGATACCCACAAAAATTCATCATTACGGATGCTCTTATTCTTTTGATTTATTGTATCATCGTCACAAGTCACAACAATAACAAACAATCACATCACTTAAAGGCTAATCAATCAATCCTTTTTTTTTTGTCTTTGTCTTTTCCTAGAAAACAGTTGCAAGAAACTCCCACATTCCTAAACCTTACTTCTCAAATTCTATAAAAAAGGACAAGACACTGCAAGAAACAATACAAAACAAAAAAAATGCAAACTCAGACAAAGCCTGTCTTAGTGATGGTGGTGGTAATAATGGTGGTCATGAGCTCTTTCACTGTGGAGGGAGGAGGGAGAGGGATATACAACAAAGATCAGAGGCTTCACCACGTTCAAACGGACAAATCCGTCATTTCATCAGCAAGAGCCGTAGACAATCACCATAACATTCCAAGACAAAACTTTGACAATTGGGGTGGTGGAAATGGAGGAGAAGGTGGTGGAGACAACGGAACCGGTTAGTACCAGAAACACAAAAAGATATGACATGGCTAAGACAAGAAAATTCCTAAGACATGTATGTATAACTAAAGAGTGTGGAGAGTGTGGTGTGATTATTGGCTTATGTTTTGTGCTTTTTGTGTTGTACTCCTAAGTATATAATATATATGGATTTGATAAGAACGTTGTGGTTCTATGCTTATGTGATGAATGAATGGCATTAAAATTCATATGTTGCACCGAGGCTCCACGACAAGACCACACCATATCGATTCTTAATTAATCCGCTTTCATCATCTTCTTTTTCTCCTCCTCCTGAGCTGAAAATGTGGTACCACGGCTTTTGTTGGTCCACAGAGAAGAACATTACCTAAGCATGTTTGTCTCATTAAATGTGTTGTACTGGTTTCTTTGCGGAATTGAAGCCTGATCGATTGTTGTAATATAAGACACATTAAAGATGATGAGAGTTGTAAGAGTGAGATACATCAAGGCATATACAAATACTACCTGAGTTGAGTTTGTTACTAAAAATAAGGGACCACTAACTTGTCAAAACTAGCCTTGATTTTGCGGTGAACCAGAGAACTGACCCTCACTTTGAGGTATTTTGCATGGTTAAATCTGCCACAAAGCAAATGATGCAAGATTGCACTAATTATAATGATCAAATGAGAGAGAGAGGGATATGAAATGAAGAAAATTGTGATACAATGTTGGATCACAGATTATTAATGGAAGATCATAGTTATATCTTCTTCTTCCTTTTTGAAAATATATCATAGTTATATCTTGGTAAAGAAAACCTTTCTTTTGTTGGCAGAACCTTTCTTTTGTTGGCAGAACAACAATAGCTAATTAGTTACTTCCTCCCGTCCGAGAAAAACCAGATTACTTCGATAACCTCCTGGCAAAAATGACTATACAACACGGCAACAATACTAAAATAGTAGGCTACAAATTCCGGTCAAATTTTCTATCTATTTTAATAATTCTAAATCACACATATTACACTTAGAAAACTTAATTTTCGACGTAAATTCAGGGAAAGAATCTCAAATGTTGTATACCAAATATCTATTTTTTTAGATTCATTATACAACCGACGTAGATTCACTTGTTGTTATACCAAATGTTCGCCTTTTGATCCATAATTTTCTCAAGAAAAAATTTGAATTTGTAATAATCTTGAAATAGAAAATTTATATCTCACAATAGGCTTATTACAGACGTTGAGTAAACGCGCTAGAAGATAAAGAAGATCGTCGTTGTAACATGTTACTAACTGAGCATAAAAAAAGAAGTACGAATACAGTTACATGCATGATCATAAACAACACATAGAAAAAGATTGAACAAGAATTCTAAGTGTAGTTACTTCAATAGGGTCAGTATGGTATAGAGAACGAGTACAATCAATTTTGATACGTAAACTTCAAAAAGTGTGGTTTATGTCGTACGAACCTAATGAGCTGCCACGAAGACCGGAATTACAGATGTGGGGTCCGGTCTACGCAGACCGACCATTCACATTTCAGATGTTCACCAAAAATCTACCGACAAGTACATCAAAATTAAATTAAATGTTTTGACTAAGAATACAGAAAAATATTAAATAGAGAACATCGGGTCCTAGTCCACTCTGTATTACGGTCATATCTCTTATCATATTGCACACATGCAATTTTGTAGTAGGACTCAGAATTGAATATGCTATGTTACGTTTACAGCTAAAAAATTCTGTTGTTATTTCTTTTAATTTGTTTCTTGTATAGTCAGAATCAGAATGTTAGCCTTTATAACTCTGTTCCCACGTGACACGTTTACTACAAAGAGAATCAAACACACATAGGAGTATTTGTTTTTGTTAATCATGAATCTAAGATGTTGTTTTCCTAACCCAAAACCAGTTTTTGATAGTATCAAAATTGTAAATCGTATAATTCATCCTTACGTTAAGAAAAATAAACTTTGTAACGTTTTTATCAGCCGATCTCGACAATTCGATTCATTTTTAGATTTTGGATCACCCTTGATTCAATGATTTGTTCACTATTATATTTTGTGAAATTCGTGAGATATCAACCTCAAAAGTAAATCTTACACCAAGTAGCTCTTGGTCTAGTGGTTTCCTCTTCATAAAAATAAAATAGAAGTTTCTTGTTCAAATCTACTTGGGAGGAAGGATATTTCTAAAGAAAATAGACTAAAAACTGACTACGGACCCGCAGAAATTAAAATTTAGGTCCGAACTTCGATGTTTC